GTATCATGGAAGTAACAAGTGAAATTTCCTAAACTTACATGATAGTAATTCCTCTTACTGGAAATGTAGTTGAATTTTTATGACTTTGACCAGAATTCAATTTCTTCTTATCCTTCCACCAAAAATGATCAGTATTCAAATTCCCCTCATTTTATATATGAAGAAACTGAGGACCAGAGAGGTTAAGTGGCTTCTCCAAGATTATACAGATTGTAATTAGCTAGGTTCAAAACTCAAATCTTCCAACTCTAAATCCAGGACTTACTCTATTACACTACTGACTGCTTTAGATAATGGATAAAATTCAGAAGCACAAATGAGAAAAAGAATTGGTGAATGGGAGAACTGGAAAGAATGAAGCACAATTAAACTATTCAACAAACATCTTTTAAGCACCCACCATGTGCAAAGCAGTGTAAGGCACTTGTGATACAAAGACAAAAACAAAAAGACCTGCCATGATCTATTTTACACTTTATAAAGAGGACACAAGTACACAGGTAAGACATGTACAAGTTCATTTCAAGGAGAAAACATTAACAACTAAGACCACAGAAGGCTTTGTGGAATATAGGTCATCTGATCCAAACCTTGAAGGTAAATATTGAAAGGAAGAAATAAATAGGGTGTACACTCTGGGAACGGGGGATAGCTTGTGGAAATGCACAGACAGGTATGTATTGAGCTCAGGAAAGAGTTAAGTAGTCCAGTTTGATTGGAATACAGAACATAAAAAGGAATAGTGAGAGATAATTAAGGTTGGAAAAGTAGATAGGAGCCAGATTGTCAAGAACTTTAAATGCAATGCTGAAGAGTATGTATTTTACATAGTCACATTCATGTCATAGGAAAATTATTTTAGTAGCTGTGGGTAAGGGGAATAGGACAGTGGAGAGACTGGAAGACCAATTAAGAAGTTGTTTCAATTGTCCAGGCAGGTGACCTGAGCCCGGAGTAGGATGGTATCCTTGTAACTGCAAATAACAGGTGGGCACAAGAAAGATTATGGAGGTAGAAATCATTAAAACTTGGGAACTTGTTAAAAAATGGTTATGTAAGGAAGAAGAAGAGTCAAGAATGACTCAGAGTTTATGAACAAGAATCATTAGGAACATAGCAGTATTTACCCTTGACAGAAATAAGGAAATTTGGAGCAGAAGTGAGTTTGGGGATGAGAGAGGAAGAGAAATGCTGAGTTTGATTTTGGATATGATGAGTTTTGAGACAAATCATTCAGGTAGAGACTAGGGACTCAACTGTGAGAATCCTATGTAAAGACATCAATCTGTTCTAATTTTAGCATTTTTATTCTATCACATGAAAAAGATCTATGGATTATTTAAATAAATAATATCAAAAATAAGTAAATGAGAGATACTAAATATTAGTTTGTTGTGAACTGGTCAATGAAGACCAAATCTGTGTGTCTTTATAGAATTCTGATGTTCAATGAATGATGTTCCATAAAAAGTATTAAATTTGAAAGATAACAGGGTCTTTCAGAAACCAAATTGAAAAATTTAAACCATTTAAATTATTCATGAAACTACTCTCTCACTGTTCAGACTTAGAAAATGAGAATCAGAAAATGAGAAAATTGGAGCACCTATAACTAATCCAAAAGAATTTTTTCAGGAAACATGAAAATGTTGAGAAGAAACAGGACATAAAAATGGATATGTTAAAAAGTTACTGAAGAAATGAAATTCAAATTTGTGAATTTTGAATGAAAAGAAAATAAGCATTACACTTTTTCCTATAACTTAAAGGCTAAGTTTATGGGGCAAAGGAAACTTTCAAGTTTTGGACATTGGTAATTTAGCATATATCCCTTTCCACAAAAGAATAGTATATTATAGAATAAAGCTTGGGAGTAGACATAGTTCTTTGTCTTTAAGTATACGACATTCTGAAGAAAAATTTTAATACTAATATGTATCCACTAGGTTACCAAAAGTGAATTTTAAGAAATCATTATCCTTTTCTCTTCTGTGATTCAAAATGCTTTATTTTAGATTCTGTATTCAAATGAATCAAGTGAATAGGGAGTGAAAGCAACATCCTTAATAGCTTTCTTGGCTTATATAAAACTATACAGGGGTCTTTGGTTGTAGTCCCAAATGGTTAAGTTTGGATGGGCTTTTAACTTTTAGGATCAAAACTGAAGAATTTAAAATTAGCAAATTACAACAATTGTTTTTGCATGAGCCTACAGACTAAAAAAAAAAAAAAAAAGATTAACCCTAAATGACATTAAAGCACCCAAAGAGTTGCAGTGACCCCTAAAGGGCTTCAAGAAAATAAATTGATTACTGTATAAAGAATGGAACCAGACACACTGAAAATTTCAGGAACTGTTACATTTTCACTGGAAACAGGAAAACTTTTGGTGACAGGTTTGTTTGTTGGGTTTTGTGTTTTTGTTTTTTTTTTTTATCATCCATGTGATGTTACTAGTGAGCTAGGTGGAATTAAAGTAATATCCCTACTTATTCTTTAGGTCCAATTGTTTGTAATCTCAACCATCTAGAACCTAGCTATGAACCCTGGAGCAGAGAGGAAAAGTCTGATGAGTGGTAAAAGTTATTTGATTAAAACTTCACTTTGTAGATAAGGCCTACAGGCTTTCATTTAATACTTATTATTGACAAATTCATAAGTCCATTTTATACACATTCTAATAAGCTTAGTTATACTATTTCCAAGTCCATAGCAAGTACGAAGGAGCCAGATTAGTGGGGCACTAAGGTAACCTGTAGAGGCACAAACATTGGCTGGAGTAAGAAATGAGAGCTACAGTCCAACAGTAGACAAGAATAATTAAAAATTAACCAAAAAAAAAAAACCTATAAAAGCACAGCAGTCTGTGACTATTGAATACAAGGGCAAATAGTCTCCTATAAACTTCATTAGATTTTAGGAGCATCACTATATTATAGAATAGTACTCTAAACTGATATTCACAAAGGTGATTCCGAGTTATGAAAAAGTTTAAACTATATCCAGCGGACTTATGTAACATGCTTAATTCTCACACCAACAGTTGCAATGGATAAAAGATACTTTTACTTTTTTTTTTTAATTGTTGTAAGAAGTGGCCAGCTAACATGCCAATTGCTGTAGATTACCAAACTCCCCATTAGGCCTCACTGTTTCAATGCCATTTATTTTACCTAAAAATTATCTACACATTGCCTTTGCTCAGTTCTCTGTGATAGGTATGATGGTCACTGAACAATACTAATTTGGCAAAGATTTGAGGCCCTATTTTGTGTTCTAGATACTGAGGAAAATAGAGATAAACAGGATGTGAAACCTACCTTCAGGAAGCTTGCCATCTGGTAGGGGAAATACAACACACAAATATTAAGCTTAATATTCATACTCCTGCACTAAAATCCTACATGAATACCTCATCACTGCAAAGTGATGATGAGTTTTCAAAGGCTATACCAGTGGAATGCAAGCTCTGAGAGGACCCACCAAGCTAGAAAAACTATAAGTATAATGTGTTTTTCACATAGGGACCAGCCTATGTAATTTCAGAGAACTTCATCACTACAGTTATACATCAGCTAACTTTGGCCCATATTCTTTCATTAAATTGTCTTGGGCAGGGGTGGGGAGCCTGCAGCCTTAAGGCCACATGTGGCCTTCTAGATCCCTGGGTGCAGCCTTTTGACTGAGTTCAAGTTTTACAGAAAAAATCCTTTTATTAAGGGGCTTCATTCTGTGACGTTTGGATTCAAAAGGCTGAACTTAAGGACCTTGCAGGCCACATATGGCCTTGAGGCTGAAGGCTCCCCACCCCTGGCTTAGGGCATAGAGTTTTAATATGTACCACACAAAGGCAGCATGCCACAGTGCTGGTCAGGAGATGAAAGTTCAGATTATAACTGTCACTTTTCATGAGACTAAGTAAATCATTTCATGAGGTAAGTAAATCATTCTCTCTTGGACTCATTCACCTAAACTGTAAAATGAGAGTGTTGAACTAGAGAGCCTCTCACACTCCTTTCCAACTCTAAATTATGATCAAGTAATTGCTACGAGACTTCAGAAGTAAAGATCACTTCCGGCTGAAGGCAGGGATCAGGGAAAAGCATTATAGAAGATGGCAGCATTTAAAGAAGCTTCAATGGATGGAGAAGTCAACTCTTCCATTAGTCAGCAATAGCATGCATGGTCTCAGTTTGTGCAAGAAAAAGGGAAGGGCAATGCCAGGAAAGGTAATTCCTCCAAATTCTCTCCTACACCATTGGAAGGCCTTATCAAGTCCAATCCTTTCATTTTACAAATGGGAAAACTGAGGTCCACAATCCCAGGTGTTCTTTCAGTCTGTAGATGCTGGTGACATGCTTTCCAACCATGGTTGCTCACCATCAAACAGGCCTGAGTCTGGTTTCATTGACAAGGGTAATAAGTAACTGACTCCACCCAAGGCATTCCCTGCTGGAATCCATTGAATTGCCCAACAGAGGCTACTTTCGGTCAAGGAAGGCGATGCGGCCTGAAGGAACTGGTTCTGAAGTCATAGAGCTCGGGTTCGACTCTCTAGCTTGGCCTTTTTTTGGGGGGGAGGGGCAGTGTATGTAATGTGCTTCTCCAGGTCACACAGTGAGTGGGGTGGCTGGGCCCTGCGTGATGCTCAGTCCTCGGCCTCAAAGGCCCCAGTTGTGACATGGCACTCCAGGGAGCCTCATGGTCGGCCTCCCAATATTGAGTGAAGCTCCCCACGCAGCTCCCCAGTTTCTTCCTCTCCACGCTTCTAAGTCGGCCGAAATGCGCCGCGGTTGACAGGGGCCCAAGGCAGGGAAGGACACGTCGACTCGAGAGCCCGCGGCCTTCTCAACCCCTCCAAGCCCGCCGACTACCGCCGAGATCGAGCCCGGAGACATCGATGCTCAGCCACATCGACCCCTGCAGGCTAGACTAGTGGCACTGGCGCTAATGACCCCTCCGCTCCGCCCCTCCCCGCCCCGCCCACTCGGTCCCATCCCGTCCCGCCCAGAGCAAAGGGGGCTGAGTCCAGACAGTTTAGTTCAGTGCTCACTGTCTTTCCCTCCAACTCAGACTCCACTCTGGTGCAAGCGACATGTCCGAGGAGGGGAAGGACGTTTTTCTCAGAGCCCGGGGCAGGACGCTGGACGCTTTCCCTGAAGGTATGCTCATCCCCGACCACTTTCTCTCGGCCCGGGATGGGGGAGGGGACGGGGAGGAGCCAAGGCGGCGAGCAGAACGGAACCTTCGGAGCATGCAGGCGGAGAGGGGCGCATTTCTTGCCGGCCCATTTTGGCTGATGCTCCAGACAGCCCGGGGTGGGGGGGGCGGGAATAGTCGCCGCACGGTGTCCCCTAGCAACGGAGTTCTCGCCTCCGAGAGCGCCTCTGCGAATCCTACCCCACTTACCCTCCGCAGCGGTATTCCCTCACTTTCTACCCAGAAACCCAAAGTGGGCGCCGGCGGCCAGAGGGGACTGATCTTCTTGGACCCTGCTCCTCGGTTTTAGGGCCGTTCCTTCTTGAATCTGAGGAATTCCTAAGTCAGATGCGTTAAAAAGTTCCGAAAAGGTACACTTTCCCTGCGGGCGGTCTCCGCTGGGGAGAGAGCTCGGGCTGCCCACTTCCTTGTGCTGGTCTGGCAAAGATGTTAAAAGGGGCAGGTCTAAACCCCAAGTATCCAAACGCCGCACTCTATTAATAATTACTTGCCCCCAGGTCAATTTCGTGTGTTTATTTTTTCACCACAGAGAATGCCTTCCTCTTCAACTGCAAAAACTGAAATTATTTAATTTTAAAGATCGATTGGGGGAGGAAATAGAGGATTTTGTTCTGTGTGGTTAACTCTGAAATAAAACCTTATTGGGAGTAGAATTAAATCCATTGAGAAGGCCAGCCTCATTTCTAAGGGTTTGTTAAGTTTTTCACTTTAAGCAAGACAAAATTTAGTTAAGTCTTATTTATTAAGCACCTGCTAGGTGCATGGCACTGAAACTACTTACCAAAAAAAATAGTTCTTGCCCTCCAGTGCTTAGGTTCTGGGGGGACAGGGAGTAGGGTGGGGTGGGGTACAACTTATTCTCAGATAACTAAATATAAGGTAATTTGAGGAAGGATAAAGCACTAATATCTGGGATGATAGGTCTAGCTTTGTATAGCTAGGGGCACATTAGCTGAGTACTGAATAAAGATTCTGAGAAGTGAACAAGTGCTCATCAGCCTTAGGGACAGTTTGTGTGAAGGTACTGAGATGGAAAATACAATTATTATTGGCAGGTAATTGAATATGTGGAGAAAAGGAGGAGAAAGAGTCGAAGATGATTAGATTGTAAACCTGGGTAACTGGAATAATGGTAACAACAAATGGGTAGTTTGGATTCAACAATAGGATTAGGGCAGAAGTTAATGAGTTTTATTTTGGAAATGGTCCAGTTAGAGATAGTAACCATACATCCAGATGCTGATTCCAAAACACTTTTGTTTACATGAAGCAGAAGGTCAGGAAAGATATGTAAAAGGATTTTAGAACTGCCGTGGAGATATCTAGGTCAACCACTCTCATAAATTAAGTCTTAGCACCCCTTCTAGGACCACCCTCTCCAACACTAAATTAAACTCAGGAGTTGGGTCCCCTAAAGGGCCCCTACCACTCTGGGTTCAAAGATGCTCAGTGGATCTGTACTCCTGAAACTATAGCTCATGAGCCCCTGCTAGTGTTTGCCTTTAATAGTCAGTTAGCTCAAAAGCATTTACTTAGAAGGTATAATAAAAATAATAGTAATAAAATATTCATCCCATAAAGCTGGGGGTTCACTCTCCCATAAATACAGTGTTAGTAAGAAGAGTGGAAACACCTTATTTTTGTTCCTTTTTCGATTTTCAGATGAATTGGATTTAAGTGAGGCAGGGCTGAGCAAAATCATCAGCCTCACTCTCTCCTCCAGAGTCATTGGAATTCTGTGGCAAGACAAAGTCAAGATGATTTTGTCAGTGGCCCAGGAGGCAGTGTCCCATTGCAGACTGGGCAATGGCCCAGAATGGCCTTGGTCTTTTTAAACTTGGTCTCAGTTTGAAGCACAGCCCATTCGGTGATTTAGGGCTAGATAAGAATTGAGACAAAAGATGGCCTAGTTTGCTTTACAAAAGAATCTGCCTGGGTGGGGAAGACCCTCCACATTTGTGGCCGGAACCAAAAACTGTTGCTATTTACATTAACTCTGAGCCTTCATAACCCAAACAAAGGACTTGGGAGGCTTGGACCAGGACCTATTATTGGCCACTCAGTGAAAGCCAGAGTGATTTGGGTTTAAAGGCATAGTCAAGTAGCTCCATTTGAAACACAGTGGACTTTTTCAAAGCCTTTTTTTTCCCGTAGACCTATAGTTCCAGAAATCATAAATAAAAACTTCCACCAGACCAACAGGGGAACACATTTAGAATGGGAAAGGGGTTGGGAGTGGGGGGTGGGGAGAGTGATAAGCATTTATATAACAGCTACATTTATATAGCTACGTGCTTTTTTTAAAAATACAAACACTAGTACACCAGTAGTAAAGCATCTACATAAGCAACAATGACCACATCATCTCATATCTTGGCACTAAAGAATTTCTTCCTCTTCTTGAGGTGCTCTTATGCACCTTCCTTCTAGAATATCATCTCTACTGGGCTGATTAGTCATCTGGTTTCCTGGGCCTGCCCTTCTCCATGAAGATCTGCTAAGACCACTTATCTGTCGAATCTATAGTTGATTCTCTTCTCTGCTTCCAGGGGTTACTCTTTTAGCCAGGGCCATTGGTGGGAAAGTAGGGAGAAGGATCACACTCCTCAAAACTGCTACTTCCTACTTTGATGCTTAAGGCTGGCAAGCTTGCTTTTTAAGGACTATCAGGAATGATGTGACCAGTCTTTAGTTGGGATGGTAGCAAGCTGTCTTTCTCATTCCATCAAGGAGAATTCCTTCACACTTTATAAAGGAGAAACATGACAACATCATTGCACTTCAGTTAACACATTAATGCTTGAGCTCTCTGCTACTTGCTGCCTTCTGTGATTTCAGTTGGGTTTGGGTACAACCAATCAGCTTTTTCTTCCCCTCCCAAAAGTAAATTGCCAAAGTAACACAGGTAGCAAATAGCTTGAACCTAGATCTTCTGATACTTAGTCAGGTTCTCTTAGTTTATTATACTATCTCTCAATTTGAGAGTTTTCTTCCTAGAGATGATATTTGAACCCCTGGGAACTGATGAGTTCACCATGGGAAAGGCTATGGAGAAAAACCCTTGCTAAGAATAGAGGCTTGGAAGACGTATTCATTTGGAGATGAGAGACAGATCAAGGGAGATAGGGAAGGAAAAGTCAGACAGAGGTACTAGGACAAAGCAGGGTTCATGGAAGCCTGGAGAGTTAGGTCTTTGTGAATTATAGTTCTATAGATCTATATAAATCTGTAGAAAAGATGGAGCCCACAATAGTGACCTTGATTTTCTCATTAAAACAGGGAATAAGGGTCTGTTTAAGAGTGGTGTGTGTGGATAGTGTAGAAGGTTTTAGCAGGAAGTAAAAGGTTTGGAAATAATGGGAAGTGTAGATGAGAGAAAAACAATACATAAACATTTTATTTTAAAAACATTTTAAATTAAAAAGATCAAATAAGTAAGATGATACCTTTTTTGAAGGCCTTAGAAAATTAGACAGGAGATTGTTAGTGTGATTTGGTAATAATAATTGCATATTACATGATCCTTTACAAATTGCTTTCCTTACAACAGACCTGTGAGAAAACTACAGACAGTAGTATCTGTAATAGTATACAAGTCTTAGACCTCTTTTGTAGAGACAGGAAGGTCAAATGATTTGTCCTGACTGTACACTGAATGGAGCCAGGACTTGAATCAACTGGGTGTTCCCCTCAAAATCCATTACTCTTTCACTGTAAGGAGCCATTGTGAGTTATCAAATAGAGGAACATGTTTAAAAAAAAGACATATTTTGTGATTCATGGAAGAAGCATGTTCGATAATTTGAATGATGATGAGACTAGACACAGAAACACTATTCTGCCATGAGCTCAGGAAAATCTAGAGACTAGAAAGGAAGATTTTGAATCAACTTGAACCAAGAGTGGGAAAGTATGCTATCTTCCTGGGGTGTACATTTTGCATGTGATTGAAGACCTCCCAAGAGCTGTCAGACCTGAGGGAAATTATGGAAGGACTCAGACTTTTTTAAGGATATGGACAAAAGAGTGGAGAAGTCCTGTAAAAATAATATCAGGGAAACAGTTACAATGTGAACTGAGACTTTGAATAAATAATACTGTGATATTTATACAGTTCTGCACGGTGTTTTTAGTCTGCAAAATGTTTTACCTAATGATTTCATTGAAGCCTAATATTATGAGGTAGGTATTCCCATCATTATTTTATAGATGAGGAAACTGAGACTTGGAGAGGCTAAGTGACTTTCTCATGACCAAATAGCCAGTGTTGGGAGCAGGCTTTAAATTCAGATCTTCCTGAATCACTATCAACTACTATCCACTATATCATACTGACTCTAATAAATACCTAAGTCAACAAAAAGGACTTTTTTTTAAGCCGTCCTCTTAGTAATAAGAATACCAAAGAGAGGATATATTCTTTGCTACATGTATATAGAAATATGATAGCAAAGAGAGAACTAAACTCAAGAAAATGACCTTCAAGCTGGGAAAAATAGAACAAAAATGGTTAATAAGAATTGAGCCTGAAATAAATAAGGAAAGTAAGTGAGCACATAGTTGCCTAAGTGAGTTCAATCATTTGAGAACAGTAGGCTGTATCATAACTGTCTTTGTTTCCCCAGCACCTAGCAAAGTGCTTTTTGAATAATTGATACTTAATGACTATTGAATTGCATTGTTCACATTGAATTTAATTGAATTGAACTGTTAGGCCCCATCAATAGAAGTATAGTGACCAGAGCAAGGGAATTGATAGTCTATGTATAATGATACATACATATATACATACATACATACATACATACATACATACATACATACATATTTGGCATGATCAGGCCACATCTGGAGTTTTAAGTCCATTTCTGGATGCCCTTTTTTAAAAGGATATTGACAAACTGGACTCTGGCCTGAGGAGAGTAACCATGATTGTAAAGCT